TTTGACACGAATCACACTCACATTTCTCACATTGGGCGACTCCCGCAGCATTTACTTTGCCATTGTTGCTGTTATAATTAAGCAGTGCCTCTCGTTATTAGTTGTTTTCCGTACTGATCCTTTATACTGATCGAGTCGAGAGGTGGCATCCCAGGCGACAGGGAGGCTGGATTAAAATGATCTCTGAGGTCCCTTCCAGCCTGGGCCATTCTACGATTCTAATTGTCCTCTTTGGAAATAATAAAGCATCGATACCTTGTTCTAGTTAGTCTAAATCGTTGAGAGTAGTTATAAAAGCAGAGATAGGTCCTTGCTTTTCCTTTACGGGCAGGGAAAATAGTGCGTGAGGAGCGGCTGAGGGCCCTGGGGCTGTTCAGCTGGAGGAGAGGAGGCTGAGGGGAGACCCCATCGCTCTCTGCAGCTCCCTGTCAAGAGGTACCGAGGAGGGGATCAGGTCTCTTCTCCCAAGTAACAAGTGACAGGACAAGAAGAAATGGCCTCAAGTTATGCCAGGAGTGGTTTGGGTTACACATTAGGAAGAATTTCTTCACCAAAAGGGCTGTCGAGCACTGGCACCAGCAGCCCAGGTCAGTGGCTGAATCGCCATCCCTGGATGTGTTGAAAAGACAAGGCTACGGTGCAGGTCTGAGGCACACCCTGGAGAGAAGGCTGAAGATATAGTTACAACTACAAATTAGCTCAGGCAGGACGCAAAGGCCCCAACCTGAACTTCAGAGGAGCTCCTGCAGGGGTGAGGGTCTCCGCTGAGGCTGCTCAGGGTAATTAGGGCCCACTGCAGGCATTGACATCTGCCTGAGCTGCCCCAAAAAGGAAAATTCTGGAGCGTTCATGGCCAAGCCTACTTTTCTCTGTATGTCTTCAGGCTCTCTCCAGCACAGTAAAGGCCTAATTTGTACCCACGGACAGGTTTTTATCTTCAGATCTCAGAGCCGTATGATGCAGGTAGCCTAACAGCCCGCTACCGCTGCCTTTTCTGCTTGAGAGCTCCAACGTGGACAGCGACACGTACATCCGTTCAAGAAAACTTATATCCAGTAAAAGCAACTTTGATTGTATCAAAGTCGCGTGTTTTTACGCTCCTGGGAAGTACCTCTCATCAAGCCACCAGGCTGTCCATGCTTCGATTTTGCTGACTTTCACAATGCCAAAAAAAGCCACCGGTTCCAAACCCGGGCTATCTGTACCCCAGTCTCAGTACCAATCCATTTTGCTCATGGAAAAAAGTTGCAGGAACGTCTTTCTTTTTATTTATTTTTTCCTACTTAACGTGGTTACCTGGGAACCAATTGGATTTCCAAACTTGGGAGCTTGTCGTCAGGGATTCTGCTCTTGTCAGGTGGGTGAAAAGCTCTTGAGGCTGGGAGCGTGCTGACTGACACGGCTGGAAAGGTTGTCGTTATCTAAGGTCCTATCCTGCAAGAAAAAAAAGTAAAAAGAGATGTGCTCGTGGGTGATACGTGCACTTGGCTCTTACAAAAGCAAGTGGAAGCAGAGAGTCTCATAAGGGGTTGCAAGTTGAGCTGCAGATAAGCAGGTGTATTTCTGGGCAACAAGAAACCTTTTTTTTTGGTCGTTTAAATGCAAGAAAAGCGCCCTTCAGATTACAAAACAGGAGCTTTAGCAGCAGTTTTAGCAGCCCAAGGGGAGCGGCAGGAGGATATGGCCGGGAGGAGGAGATGCTGTGGCTTTTCAAGAGCTGTGAGATCAGCTCGGGGAATCTCACCCAAAGTTTCTTCGGGCTGGTTGACCCAACTGTTTGGGGTTCCTGTCGCCATCCTCGCTGCCAGCTGCAGAATCAGGCTGGACTTGATCCATAGGTTGGACTTGATGATCTCAGAGGTCCTTTCCAACCTCAGTAATTCTGTGATCGCTCCCCCGCCGAAGGGTGAACTCATGTGTGATGTTTTTAGTCAGCCTGAACTGGGTATAAGTGCAGGGTTTCCCTGGATTAGCAAATAAAAGGGCTCAGAGGGTTGTTCAGCAGAGCCAGCGCTACCCGGTCATGCTTTGCAGGCACTTTGGGGATCCCAAATCCCCATTCCTGACCCTCAGGTAAGAGGTTTCCTCGCACCGTCTTGACTCTTCAGAAGACCAGTTGGCCGATGCTCGCCCAAACATCGTGCCAGCTCTCGAATCGCAAACCCCAGAGCTCAGCTGCACCACAAATCTTTCCATCAGTCCCTCCCTGTACATCATCCTGTCAAATATTGTCACCCATCAGGCACGTTGTAGTCGGCTGCTTCCCTTAGGTACACGTGAGGCAGGCTCTCCGTCTCCGCCGTAGATTAGTTCTGTAATTTTTTTGAGAAGTTTCTTTCCTGCCGTCGCACAGGAGCGCTCCCAGATCTTTTTCCGAGGCTCCAGATTGCCAGATGCGTGTCAACAGTCCGAAATACGTCCTGTCCGAGAAACGGAAGACTCCGGTGAGTTAACTTGAGCTAACTTGCTCCACTTTGATTCTTGCTCGAAGCCCAGGGACCAACTCAAACTATTAGGAGGTCAAGCAAGTTCTAATCATTTTAATTTTCCTTTAATACAGACAGAGAGAAAAATCTGTACGTTGCTGCTAACCCTTGAATTTCAGATTCAAATGGCATCTTTGGGAACGGATCACGACGTTTTTCATGGTGGAGGGAAGTAGAGAGGAATACAAACGTTGTTCTTGGCTGCAAATTTATAAGTGGGCCTACATGCCAAATACCAAAACCAGAATTTGACCTATGTAGTTTAAAAAAAAAAAAAAAAAGACACCACACGCTGTTTAATCTAAGAGCATCCTGCAGGAACATCTGCTCCCTAGGATTTATCAGTCTCAGGAAACGAAATGAAAAAGTCTATATCCAAACTGTGAGAAAATAAATTCCAGGAACACTTATACCAACAAATACGGGAGGTTAAGGTCTACAAAAGTAGTGTGTTAAATATTTATTTTTTTTTATTAGCATTTTGGTTGTATTTTAGGACTGTGCCACTTCTGTGACAAGCTCTATGTGCTGTAGTAGCACAAGGACTTAAAGTATTATTTTGTCCCTCGAGCTGGGACGTTCTGCAAGTGCTTCCCTCGTCATATAAAAGATTTTCAGCTCTCAGTAAATTGGGATTTTACTGTTTCTCCAATGTAATCTTCTGCCTTTTTGCACTGAAATCAGGAGATGGAAACTTCTGAAGCTTCACATTTAACTGTTTCAAGGCTCAGTCAGGCTGAAGTTTGGGTTTTGAAAGTCAAATCTTTCTCTTTGCCCATGATTTTTTGTAAATTTTGCAGACAGAACAGGGAAGGAGTTGGATTGGACAGTCACATACTAATCAGTTGTAACAATGAAGGTAAAGTAGAACAATCCATCATACCTGGCTTCCCCCCCTCCACAGAAGCACCAAGAAAGTTCTCAAGATAGAAGCGAACAGGCTCTTAAAATTAACAGGAATTTGCTTTCGGAAAAGCTTGCAGCTTCCGCAGGAAAATTAATATATCCCGTTCTCAAGCTTTATTCTCCACTACATTCTCTGCGGATGCAAATTCAGCCGGTTTGTGTCGCCAGCCTGCATTTAACACTCATGACCCGTACGAGTTCACCCAGGTGACCTTAGGGAGGGACACGCGTCCCAGCGCAAAACTCCTGAGTGGGAACAAGCCCTAAGTGAAACCTGTTATTTGGGGATTTAATGCAAAATTCGGAGCGATCGTGCGATGCCGTTATTTTCCAGTGGGCCCAGTGAAGACCGAGGAACCATTTTTCACCCAAAGATGTGACAAACTTTCCCACAAGCTTGTTAAG